TCCCATCCTAAGATTGGGAATGCCAGATTTAGATCCCTTACCATGTTCCATACCTTGGACATTGGCGTTCGTGAATGTAATTTTGAAACGTAAGCTTGCCAAGACATACGTTTATTTTGCTGAAATGTACGCCGTGCTTTAGCATTTAGAATTTTGAATTTATTTATATTATGCACCATAGGATGCCGACAGAAATAATGTTCAGATTTCTTCCGTGCCTTTTTAGCTTGCTTGCACGTATCATTAAACCATGGTTTACGAATGTGTGGATTTGCAGAGGACTTGGGGATACATTCATCAGCTATTTTGTTTAGTTCATCAGAGAACACTTTTATTGAATCAGGAACATCGACAAAACGATCAGGATTTAATTTGCTCGTACAGAGTAACTCGAACAAAGACCAGTTAGCAAATGTGAAATTCCATCCTGATGATGGAGGAACATCAGTAGGTGCTATTGTTTGGAGAATAGTTGGAAAATGGTCACTTCCGCAGAGGTCGTCGTGGACTGACCATTCAAATTCATTTAGCCAGTCTGAGGTTGTAAGTGATAAGTCAAGTGAGGAATAGGTGCCTGTACCAGGATGTAAATCGGTTTTAGAGTTATCATTAAAAATGCATAAAGCATTATCAGAAATGAGATCTTCTAGTATCTTCCCTTTTCGGTTGGAATCAGCACTTCACCAGAGTGGAGTATGTCCATTTAAGTCGCCCATAATGAAACAGGGCTTTGGGATCTGGTCATATAGTGCTTGAAGGTCAGTTTGTTGAAGAGTGAGTGAGTGAGTTAAGGTTTAACGTCACATGTTTGTTGAAGAGGGGAAGATGGAGGAACAGAAAGCGAGCATAATGTAAATACAATGTTTAGAGTTAACCAACTGCAACAGCTTGAAGGGGTGTATTTAGAGGAACAGGGATATCTATAATACCCTGCCTCACCAATACGGAAGGAGCTGTTCATTGTGGCTCAACTGGAGATCGTGAGCGAGATGAAGACTCTTTCCCATGGACTGGGACTGAGGGAACAATACCCATGGCCAAAGGTTCAAAAGGGTTATGAACCTCTACAGGGGTATTTGTAAGAGAAGGCACCTCCAAGTGTTGAAGTGCCCTGGCCCTTTTCATTTGCTTTTTTGCTTGATTTTGGACAAATTGGCTTTACCCTGAACATGTTCAATTCCATGTATCTTGTCTGGTTCTGATGGCTTAGATGGGGTTAGACTCTCTGTTTGGGAAGCAGTTGTCAATTTGTCACCAAGGTTTATGAGGTCAGCCTGTGCCCAAGAGATGTTTGTTTGAGTGGATGCCATTGACATTGTGGGAGCTGGTTTTGTGGAAGACACAACAGCTGAATAGGTTTTATTGTTTGGAGTCAGGAATGGAAAAAGGAACTTGTTTGCTTCTGTGTAAGAAATATTGTTTGTACTTTTAAGTTTTAGTATTTTAGTTTCGTGTTCAAAAACCAGACAGGATTGGGATGAAGACAAGTCCTTTCCATCACAGTTGGCACATTTGATGTCATTTGTGCAATCAGAACTTTCATGAGTTCCACTGCAACAGAAGCATCTTGTCTTGGCAGTGTAAATTTAGCCCCGTGACCGAATTTCTAACACCAGAGTGGATTGGGAACATAAACCTCCACTCCGATGGAAACTTAACCAGCTTTGATTGATTTGAGGAGAGTTAAAAGTGAAAACGTGAAAAGGTAGGTGTGAGTATTTACAATATTTCCATCTTCAGTTTTTCTAGTAAAACGTTTGACTGTAGTGACACCTTGGTGTTTCAATTCAGCTGCAATGTCTTCCTCTGTCATGTCTGCGAGACAGCGAGCACGATCTCTCACAATGCCTCTGCTTGAATTCAGTGCTGTGTATTCAGTGTTCAGAAACGACAACCTTTGTGTTAACAAACTGCTGGAGACCCAGCAGATTAACAGATTGCTGCCTCCGATCACATTCCACAAGGATTGAGCCAGATCGTAAACATGTGACGTTCTTTACTTCCCCACAAATACTTTGTATTTCCTTTGAGATTGCAAAAGGGTTCAGTTTTAGGGAATGGCCATCAGCGGATGAGATGACACTGAACCTTGGCCATGAGTCAGTTACCTGTGAAGGGACATCTTCATCAGATGAAAGAGAATCTATATACCTGCGTTTGTTTGTTTTAGATGAACCAGAATGAGGATTGAAAGCCATCTTGTAAGAAAATATTTCAGCACCCCTGCTCCCCACCCGTCATCGAGTGTCAACAAGGACAGTGCCACAGTGGAAACCAGTCTGGAACACCAGAGTTACAGGGGTGTTATACTCCAGAAATAAAGACATGAAAAGCTGTTGTTAATAAAAAGGACAAATGTCAGGCAGGTTCGGCCCATGGCATTTTTCTATAAAAACGCAGAATTCAGCGGTCCGTATCACCAGATTGGCCCATGAGCCATGGGATTAATAACATTGTCATATTTCATGATAAACAATTTATTTCCTATTTCCGCCTCAGACGTCTTACCCACACGAGACGAGAGCTATCGCATCCACAATTGCACTGCACGGTAACTGCACCCTCAACGCCATCATGTGGGGATGTTTTTAGAAGTCAAATACTTACCTCATATCTCCCTGTTACTCATATACTTGGCCTCCATCAGTTTGATCTGCTGGTCCTGGCACAGCAACTAACGCAGATTCACCAACGCAGATAACTGATACGCGTTCCTGCTACAACAGACTCGTACTTCGTATCAAAATGATTGAGACCCACGCCTTTGTTTATTATGGGTTCCCAGATCGAGTTCCCAGACTTTCGAGTTCCCAAAGTCGTTGGTCTTTATAAATTAAGTTGCCACACCCTGGTTTATCATTGTTTGTAAGTTCGGGTTCCCAGATCGAGTATCTGGAAAGACATTGGTCTTTATTAATGAAGTTGCCACACCCTTGTTTATTATGGTTTGTAAGTTCGGGTTCCCAGATCCAGCGTCTGTAAAGACATTGGTCTTTATCAATGAAGTTGCCACACCCTTGTTTATTATGGTTTGTATGTTCAGATTCCCAGATCGAGTGTCTGTTTATGAAGTTGTCGCAAGTTGCAGCGGTTTCGTTCGTGTCCGAAACACTTACCTGCACACCTCTGTCTTGTGCATGTGATGTCTCAGTAATGGTTTTAAGACCCTTTTGGATTTTTTTTTATCCCTTCGCATACTTCAATCCCACAGTGGGATTCCTATCTTCAAAGAGATGCCAAGCTGATCAGCCTTATGTCTTAGAGCCTATGTGGTTGTTAGTCTTGTAGAAATAATTGACAGGAGACCCCTTCCGAATTGGTGGTGGTTGAATAGGTTCCTTACTTCAAACCTTTGCAGTCGTTCTGGAAATGATGTTCTATGTAAAGAAACATAACACATGTGGTACCCGGGTTATGACTTTATATCCTAGTAACATAAAGGGGTTATCTCATATTTCTCGGTTGTAGACCATTACCGGCTGATGTATTTCTGAGACCCACAGACCAACCCTGGGATAAATTGCATAATGTGAGACAGGATAAGTTTTAACATTTGAACATCTCACACGTTTTATGCCCGGCTATCCAGATCGGCATCAGTAACAATAGCCTGTCAGATCCAAGACAGAGAATGATATGGCACAGGGTGTCAGGTGATCAAATTGCTTACGTCACGATGCACAGGATTGTAATGTGTGACGCATTTGTTTGGGTAGTGACAATGGTGATGCGAGGTGTGTGTGAGTGAAATGGTTTTAAAAGCTGGAAAACCTTTAGTGCATATTGTGAGATTGGATAAGTATATAAATGTACACATTAATGTAAAATTTTCAAAAAAAAATCACATTTGTAAAATTTAGGTAAAATGAAAAAGTCAATAGTTTGACAGGTCAACATTTGGGGTGGGGAGGGTTCGTGACGTGACAGATTCTGAAAGGCTGGCTGGCAACACGATGGCAATTTGAGTCCCTTTACAACTTGATTTAAGTCTTACCTACTTGCAAACTGCAGACGGGATTTCTATCGAAACTCACCAGATTCCTACCAGCTTCCAACACGTTTCCGGTTTCAAGAACGGAGCACATGCGCATGCCTCTTTCAAGACAATTTAAGTTTCAATTTAGAAATCAGATATATATATGTGTACTAGCGCATGTTTCAAACATCAGTCTGTAATTTAGTAATGCAAACAATTCCATTTGTTCGATAAGTTGTTCGATAAGAAATAATCGACATTGTTCTCATGTTTACGTCTGGATAAAATGTCATATAAAATTAGTAGCACATTTTCTCTGAAGTTCATGCTCCATGCAGGAAGCTAAGGTACTATAGGTCCCCATGGTCCCTAGTATGATGATCACCCTTCAGTGACTGACGTTCTCTAGCCCATTTTTACATTGTGTTGTTCTCTAATAGTTACTAACTTTCAATATTCTCAACTAGTTTTAAATCAAATGTGTGATATACTTGTTATTGTACTGTCCATCGTTGACAGGTTTTTATTTCGTCTCAATATATGTCTTATTAATAAAGTTCTCGTCACAATATGGCTGAAATACTGCCGATGTGACGTTAAATGTTAACTCACTCACTCATTCACTGAAGTTCATGCATGTTCATAGGTGAGGAATTTTTTTACAAACTCAATATACATTTAATGATGTATTGACCTCATCACTGAAAAATACCAACATAGCCCCGTTGAAATTTATATATGTTTCATGACAAATGGGTTGCCCAATATAGTCGCCTCATATGACAAGCAAAGGCGTGCTGAAGACACATCCTCTCATGGATCCACACGGGGGGAAGAGCGATAAGCGTTACCAAGCACTCACTTTATGTAAGCTGCCCTTTATGAGTGCCTACAGTGTGAGCATAATATAGATATTCATTGGAATTCATTCAGATTATGAAATACGCGTGTCTGGGTTCCTTATCTGTCCTCAAGGCTTGGTAGCACCTGCAGTTTTCCAGCACCTCAGCCAATATAAGAGATAATAAACTTCTTCATTAAGTACCAGTCAGCATGTTCAAGGATAGGATCGTCTTGTGTTTATTTGGATTGGCGTGGATACAGCCGTTCACTGCGTCCCTGCACACAGAACATATCAGGGTAAAAACTGACCATGTGTTACAGGTAATTGGTGATATGTTTGTTGGCGTCACCATCGACAGCGGTCAACTGAAGTACAATCTGAAGTATCACAACGTCAGGTACATATAACATATGTAGAAATAAGTCCGATCGGTATATTATCTAAATTGGTTTATTGGTTCACGGGTTTGTGCGAAAATCCTTGTCGGTAGGTGGGGAAAAAAATATAAAATATAGAATATATTTCTGGGAGGATCTGTCAACCAGTTTGAAGTCAAAGCTAGACACAAAAGTAAATCTGTGAGACAAAATTGTATTTAATTACCACATTCACCTTCCTGAAAACTCGATTTGTATATGGATTATGAAGATCCATCAGGAATATTAGTGAGTGTCGTGTGGAGAGTATACATTCACTCACTTACCAACTATGGACTTTTATGGACAAATCGTCAAAGGCGCCGAATTCGCTGTGCAGAGTTGTGTCACCTACTTGTGTCTGAAACATATGGTTGTGGTTTCGATTCCCATAGTCGTCCTGATACTGTTCCTATGTGTGCTAACAGTGTACCCGTGCTCGTTGCTTTCATCAAAGTGGTAGGAGTCTAAGACATGCATGACATAAGACTTTTGCGCCATGATATAACTGGAAGTTAATTTTATGACATCACTGGAAAAAGTTGAACTGACAAGCATAGTCGCCTCTGTTCGGCAAACAAGGGTTGCTGAAGACACCTGGTGTCATCAGTTAGCGGGACCAACTTTAATATTTCTTCAGTTTCCAATTTTATCGAACGGTTGGTAAGTGGTTTAAGTGAAAAATTCACGTCGAAGGCCAAGGTTTGATTACAAACATGAGTATAATGTGTGACGCGTATATAGGATTCCCCACCCTGATGTAGCAAGATATTGCTAAAAGCGATGTAGAATCGAGTGAGTGAGTGAGTGAGTGAGTGAATTAGAAATTTAAAGTCACATCGGCAATATTTCAGCCATATCGTGACTATAAAGGGTTAAACATATAAATACATAGGGACTTACGTACAAAACTGCCAACAAGGGACAGTAAAATAACTAGACTTATCACAGAAATCTCATCCCTTCCGTTGCTGGCGATTGTCCATAATTTTAGCCACAATTAAAATGACAGATATTCTACGTTTAAAAGCGTAGTAAATGTAAATATTCTTTGAATGACAGGGACTTACGATACCCTCTCAGGGGGACAATAATTTTACAGTACTTAAACCCCCTTCGAGGATACTGCCACTAACAATCTCAGATATAAATTAATTCTATTAATTTTAAAAAGGTATTATACACAAATCATATTAACAAAATTTATGATACAATTCAATTTCTTTTACAAAACCAATAACTAAATGAGTACTTATAGTATTAAAAAGATCCTTTATAGTTTTGACCTGGAAATATTTATCCCTTGTGATGGAAAAATCAACACAATCAAGGATGTAGAATCGAACTGACTCGGGCACTTCAAACTGACTTTTAGTATATACTATCAAAACCTTAGAAAGCTTGTCTGTTTTAACAGCTCTCCCAAACTTGTGACTCTTGGAAAAGCTTTAGCACCTGGGTATCTGAGAGTCGGAGGCACATCAGGGGACTTCATGGTGTTTGACCCGACTCACAACATAGCTACTGGCCAACAGTTTCAACTCCAAGGTGATAGCTGTTTTAAATTGTTACATCGTCCAAGAAAAATAATTTAATCATAAGATTTCCAGTCTACCTCCAAACGGTACTACATAGGCCATAATGGTTATTCTGGGCTACTCAATAGAAACTAATCCATATCCAACAAAAGTCTACTCATTTTGAATTACTGGTTTGAAATGAAATGTAATTTTATGACACTGACATTGCTTTCGTTTTCTCTCTACTTATTTGACAACAAAAATTAAGACGTTCACATGTGAAGAAAGGAATATTACTTTGTTCCCCAAATTCGTTAATCAGGACTTTGCTTTACGAGGAACAGTACTGGGTGATACTGGTTGTCATTGTATCTAATAACCCTGTGACTACTGAATTTCTTTATTCACGCAATTTCATTTTATCCGTCACAATTCAAGATACAGATATCCACAAGCGTGGTTTGACTCATTCTAAAAACATATACAACTGAAACAATATGTTATTAGAATGTAGGTAAATCCGATTTACAAACATCTATTTTCAGCAAACACCTGGGATGATTTCAACAAGTTTGTTCACAAGACTGGGCTGAAATTAGTGCTTGGCCTCAACCTAATGATCCGCGATGAAACAAAGTGGAACCCATCAAACGCTAAGCAGTTGCTTAAATATTCCTCTGACAAAGGATACACTTTTGCAGGGATTGAACTGGGAAATGGTAGGTTTTGAAGTCATGTATATGTCGCATCAACCACATCTAAATAATATCCCTGTAGACCCCCGAGTTATAGAGGCGCTCAACATCATGTACTTGTATAATGTGACTAAATAGATCGGTGGTCAGACTGGTCCATTGCTGGCCATCGTACCCGAAGACCTGGCCATGGTTGGTTGGTTTGTTGTTTAACGCCGCACTCACCAATATTCCAGCTTTATGACGGCGGTCTGTAAATAATCGAGTCTGGACCAGATAATCCAGACAATCATGAGCATCGATCCACGCAATTGGGATCGATGAAATGAATCAGCAAAGTCAGCCTGACCACCCGATCCCGTTAGTCGCCTTTTACGACAAGCATAGTCGAGTCGCCTTTTACGGCAAGCATGGGTTGCTGAAGACCTATTCTACCCCGGAATCTTCACGGGTCGCCTGGCCATGGGAAGTTGCACATAATTCTGTGTTTTTCTGGTCCGATTAATTTCTGGAATTTTGCGGCCTTAAGCAGTAGACAAACCCGATATATTAATACAGGATTGTCTGCGTATTTTTACATTGACATTAAATGCAACATGATAGTTTCGTCACTGTTAATACATGGAGAACGATATTAATATGCTTCGTATCTTTGTTCACTTCGCCATAAATGTATCATAATTTATTTATTATCATCGTACGTATTTTTCATGGAGAACCGAACTTGTTATACCGACATTGGAATACTACTGTCAGTGATGTTCAGTTGGGAAGCGACTACAAGGAGCTGAAACAAGTTCTCCAAGGAACGGCCTATAAGTCCAGTCTCATCCTTGGACCTGATATAGCCGGTTATAAAGACACGTTTATTAAAAAGTACGTACAAAATAAACATTGCATCCCCTATGCAAGAACGTAAGGTTCATTGTGGTCATAAACCGAGAGTTAGCTTGTTTGTAGATTGAGCCATATCTATGCCAAACGTGTCCTGTTATTCTCATGCTACAGCTAAGAATCTAAGCAAGGCCTTGATTCAATAGCATACAAGGGAGCACCTATGAACCAGTCGAATTAGCGGCTACAAACTACAGTGCAGACTTCTGCCCCTAACGTTCGTGAGCACCTTGCCCCTGCTGACCCGTGAAGATCCGGGGTAGAATTCGTCTTCAGCAACCCATGCTTGTTGTAACAGGCGACTTTGCTTGTCGTAAGAGGCGACTAACGGGATCGAGTGGTCAGGCTCGCTGATTTGGTTGGTGCAGGTCATCGATCCCAACTGCGTGGGTCGATGTTCATGATGTCAATAACTGGATTGTCTGGTCCAGACTCGATTATTTACAGAGGGCCGTCATATAGCTGGAATATTGAGTGCGGCGTAAAAGAAAAAAACAACCAAAAAGCTGTAAGCATCTGCGACCTTCATCATTTTGTGCTTTTCTTCTCACATCAAGCTGTCACGCCGTGAACGACTGTTCAAACAAGTTTTATTCATAATAGTTACTATCTGCCCAATGTGTATTTCCAGCTTCCTGTCCCATTGGGGAGCCAGTGTCATAGACGTCTTGACCATTCATCAGTGAGTATACTTCCTTCCGGGTGAAGAATCACGAACACGGACCACGATGAAGTTTTCATGTCACGCACAACAATTAAAGGTCATGGAGTACAAACGACAAATTGAAGATGACAACACATATATGCTGAAATGATAGGTAGAAGTATCAATGGGACAGTAAATGCCAAGAACTGCTAGTAACCTACATTTCCAGATGGATCGATTTAATAGATTAAATAGATCACTAACCACTGTGTAGGACTTCTATATCAACAAGAACAGGAATTTTGAATGAAACATAATGAGAGGACCAAAGACAGCAATAGTATCATAGACCCGTGAAGATTCGGGGTAGAAAAGGTCTTCAGCAACCCATGCTTGTCGTAAAAGGCGACTAACGGGATCGGGTAGTCAGGTTCGCTGACTTGGTTGATGCATGGACCGATCCCAATTGTGTGGATCGACGCTCATGTTATCAATCACTGGATTGTCTGGTCCAGACTCGATTATTTACAGACCGCCGTCATATAGCTGGAATATTGCTGAGTGCGGCGTTAAACAACAAACAAACAAACAAACAATAGTATCATAGCTCATTGTTGTGTATACAGTAACACGCTTAGCATTTCGGTGAAAACATCACCTTCCTATTTTCAGTTACTACTTTAATGGACAAACCGCCAAGCTGGAAGACTTTTCTAAGTATTCTACAATGGATCATCTTATATCTGAACTACAGACAGTGATGAGTACGGTCCGAAGCCATCATGGTCTGGTGGCGTGGCTAGGGGAGACCTCGTCCGGCTATGGGGGAGGCACTCCTGGCATAGGTGATAGATATGTGGCAGGCAATCTGTGAGTATTTCTACGTTTTAGCTATCCAAATGAATTTGGTTTAAAAGGTTTTTAAACGGTTTCTGTCTCAAATTAGGATCTTTTTAAGAAAAGCCAGCAATCAAAGATTGAATACAGGCCGGAGCAGTTAGTGAGCGAGTGAGTATGGTTTTACGTCGCTTTAAACAATATTCCAGCAATATCACGGCGGGGACAGTAGAAATGGGCTTCACACACTGTATCCATGTCGGGAATCAAACCTGGGTCTTCCGGGTGACGAGTGAACGCTTTAACCACTAGGCTACCCGACCGCCCCTCGAGTGGGTGAAGCATACGTTGATCTTAATTGTCGGTTAACCTTGGAACTCGATATGCTGTGAAGCTATTGTAAATCGTCTCGTTCTGACGTGTAGAAGTTCAAGTATACATTGATATGATATACCGTTGATAATGTCTGCAGTACATGTGTGAACAATTAAATTTCGCTTTGTTTTCCCTGTTACATAAACGGCGCATTACGAAAGATCATTGTACGTACATGAAATTTGATAGTGTTGATTGCTATATCCTAATTCCAGGTGGCTTGATAAACCAGGTGCATCAGCAAAATATGGCCTAAAAGGGGTCCTGCGCCAGTCACTCTTCGGAGGGCACCATTCACTTCTTGACAGAAACAACGACCCCAATCCTGTGCGTACACGCATGTATCGTAAACATGTCATAATGTCACACTGTCGTTCAACAATGTCATTGCGTCGATGCTCCTTTGTCGGAATTCCACATCATCATATGTCACAGAACCTCCTGTTTGTAAAGCCCGGCTGCATTGGGTATTGGGTGATAAGGCTCTTTGACTTGTCTTATTATGCATCATCTTATTTCGACTATCACAACATCAACCATTGGTTTGCATACCCAGATATGTTTTTCATTTTTCATTTTGCTGACAATGGCACAAAACAACACACATGAATGCCAATATTGTCTTTCTGTATGGAAGCTCTCTTTGGGCAGGACTACTGGTTGACGCTTCTTTACAAGAGACTTGTTGGTAACAAAGTGTTTGATGTTCCGTCTTCATCTAACAACCTCCGACTGTATGCCCACTGTACGAAGCTTACCGAGTGAGTTGTTTAGTCACATTTTTTTCCCAACCTGTTTAAAGAGTCTGCTAGCAACGTTTTACCTTAATTACACTCAGACATTAACAAGTGGCAAACACTGAACGAAATGTGTCTTGGCCTACCATGACATCACCTTACAAATCATTAGCAATCAACATTATATCAAATACAGAAAGAAAGAAACAATGATACCCAAAATATAAGTTATAAACAAATATTCCAAAATATTCAATTTATCGTTGAGGGCCGGACATCATGTCATATCATCTCATCATGTGAGTGTGCAACATGCAATTAATATATGTTTAACACAATAAGAAAACATAACAATAACATTATATCAAAGTCAATATCCTCACAAACATTGAAAAAAACAGCCTAGACCTAGGCAAATGAATTTACAATCTGAATGTTATGTACTCTTTCGCTATTGGCATATGTCATGAATATATTTCATTCGAGTTCACGAGCTACAAAGCCATACTTCGATGTAATGTGTCCATGTGATAATACATGTACCAGTTGAATCGCGGTAATGAAACTATGCGTGACGTTACAAGCACATGGCGTCACATAAAACATTATGACGTAACGATGTCCTTACAGACCTGTTGGATTTACACAAAATGGCTACTGGCAAATCAAATGGCTAGATTTCACGAAAATAATACTAACAATCATATATTCTGATTCCGACATTTGTTATGACATCATCGATTCATGTTTCAGCGTGTACAACTACAAGCCTGGCAGTATCACAGTGTATGCCCTTAACCTAAATAGTGACCCCGTAATTCTAAGCATATCGGATCTGAACACCAAAGACGTGGACATATTCTGGCTGACACCAGAGGGGGGCGATTTGACGTCACAGTTTGTATATAATATCTTTTCTTTCAACCAAAGGGTTTTGTCCTTGGTTCAAGTTTCACAATATGTTGCAATAACTTCATGAATCAATGGTTCCTTGTGAACGCTGAGGATAGTTCTGGGACACATTTGACTGTGAAACAGCAGCTATAACAGAAATGGGTGAGTGTGTGTTGACTTGCTGCAGTCAATCTGAGCCTGACATGAGCAATTGTCCATGATCAGGGAGAATGCACACTATGGCCAACAGAACTAACTGCAGGATCAGACGAAGTAACTGAAGACGTACACATTTAAAATAGACAGATGAGACAACGATTGAAAGGAGGAATAATTAATCACTGTATAATATGGAGACCAATAGACATTTTTTATGTATTTCTTATCAGAAAAGTGCAGCTCAATGGCAAAACACTGCAACTTGTCAACAACCAAATACCACACATGACGCCAAAAGCTTTGGGAACAGGGACGATGACAGCACCTGGAAACTCCTTTGGGTTCATCGTCATCCCAAACGCCAACATAGCTGCATGCCGTTCACAAAGCCACGGTCCAATTATCGGATAAATGAACCAGCAGTCTGTTTTCCTAAATGTTTCAATAAACGCTATGATGTTTGTGTTGTGAGGATATAGACGGTATATATATTGAAATATGTTTGACTAAGGAAACTGCGTAAAACAATAAATAACTGACACTTACCGAACAAAATGTTTTCCAAACTAGATATCCTTTTGGAGAGAGTGAGTGAGTTGGGTTTAACGCCGCTTTTAACATTATTCCAGTTATATCCCGGCGTGTCAGCTTAATGTGGGAAGAAACCGCAAAGCGATGCAGGTCTCGGAAGTTTACCACTTCGGCGAAACCCACGAGCACGGGTATGGTGCTGACAAACCTAGAAACATCATCGTGGCGAATCGGGATTCGAACTCACAATCATAGGTGTCTGGCGTGCCCAAGGGACGCAAGTCTGCATAGCGAATCGTGGCGCCTTAGACGACCTGGCCACCCGTGCCCCCTGGTATCGAGGATGTGATATCGTTCAATAATATTCACATAGCAAATTCCCTTACACTGACTTACCCACCTGAACTAGAAATAAAGGTGACCAGAGAGATAGCCTCATCTGTTTCATATTTAGATCTATGCATAAAATTATGAGTGACAAAACACTCTCCACGAGACTGTATGACAAGAGGGATGACTTCAACTTCCCCTTCATGTCGAGCAATATTCCAGCAGCTCCAGCCTTTGGTGTTTACATTTCACAACTTTTGAGATACAATCGAGCATGCTCTTTCTACTCTTGCTACTCTCTACTTTCTACTCAAAAGTTGTTTTTTTTATCAAGGTTACAACATTCAAGACCTCAGTAAAGCTTCCCAAACGTTTTATGGTATACATGCGGAGGACATTTTCAATTTTGACACATCAGTGACAAAAACGATGTCCGATGCAATTTCTATTTTGACTTGTACCTTATGTTCCCGTGTTTTGTCAGGTGAATAATTGACTTGCCTTTGCATGTGGTTGTGAAGGGTGTCACCGTTTTGGGCAGGATATGCTCACCTTTTAGCGAACACTTGGTATCATCACTATTTGATAGTCGTTTGCTGTTTGACGCCGCACTCAGCAATATTCCACCTATATGACGGCCTATTTTATAGTGATTCATCCACACTTGCTCATGACATTTATGCAAGAGATTTCTATGGGATATGGAAGGAGTTTTGTCGCTTTAATTATATTCCTGATATATCTCCACAACCCATAAACAATCGAGTCTTCAATGAAGATGAATGTAGTTATTTGATGTAATATCATTCAGTTGTAAAGGATAAGGCTAAACACAAAGGTAATTCGCGGAAGATTGGTTTACAGATTCTGCTGAACCTTATAACTGTATTCTTTGTTTATTTGCTTCCTGGCTTACCAACGATTTGAGAACAAAGCCGTAAACTAAGTAACATACCTTTATGAAACAAACCGATCAGACATAGTGCTACACATGTGTTGTGTCCCTAACGTGTCTCTTATATCGGCTGTGGTACTGGAAAACAGCAGATTCTGACAAGCTTGACAACAGATGAAAAAAATAGGGTCGATAACATGTTAGATAATCGGAAATTATATGAGTACACTCCAAACAGACGTGATCAAGATCAATTTCTACAACGTGAAGATACGTATGGAGATAATGCTACGATCGATTAGTGCAAAAGTAACTGTCCTGGACGTACCAGCCTGTTCATCTATTGTGTCTAGGGTGTGTCATGATAGCAGAAGACAACGACAGTGTAAATATGTTTCCTGTACATGTCACAGCCCGTAGCACCAGAGTGAGTGAGTGAGTTAAAATTTAAGTCACATCGGCAATATTTCAGCCATATCGTGACTATATATAGTTAAATATAATGCATAATTCAAATTTATATAAAAAACTGTCAACGAAGAACAGTAAAATAACTAGACTTATCACAGAAGTAGACTTAAAACTAGTATGGAATCATAAAATTGACGGCACTAAACATAACATCACAGTATAAAAACAGGCTATAGATCGCCAGCAATGAAGGTAGATCACCATACTAGGGGCCATGGGGACCGTAACACCAGTAATGAGCTTCACACATTGTACGCATGTGTGATGTATCGACGTGTGTACACATCAGTGACGGTACTTTTATCCTTCATGTGCGAAGACTATACACCATGCTTAAAGAAAATAACGACACCCCTCCCTTCTGTGTTAAATCATTCTCTTCAAGAAACATCAAGATTTTCTTTAGTAAGATGCCTTCTTTCTCAATATAATATTGACTAAAGTTCCCAATATACTTAAATAGTGGTGTCCAATGTATGGTTACAAACAGCGCTACAAATCATTTGGTACCATATGGTAAATTGGCCGGTGCACTCAAACATTTCTTTCATAATTTTCTAATTTCAGTGATTTCTGAAGCTTCTTCATTGAGTGAAATTACGTCAAAAAATTAAAACAATTTAAAAATGACATCAAACGATGAAGAGAGTATTACCCTCGTGACTTTCCTCATGTAGGTTTCGCCTGGCCACCTGTGTCCCGATGCCGAACCGAACCGGGAATGGACAGTCAGTTAATGGAAAATCGAGAAATATACGATCTCGGGATTATCGCCTGTTATAACTATACGCAATCCAAAGATCTAGCTCACCCAAATGGATGTTATTCTTTATCCTTCCTCTGTGGTGATTCTGGGTGTCATGCTTGTCACAAGTGCTGGGATCATCAAAACATGCATTTTGTGTCTCTGAAAGGAGCAGAACTATTCTCTTTACACAAAACAATGACTGTTAAGGACAGTGAAACATTTTCATTTTCGTGAAACTCTGTTCCAAGTATTTTCAGGGACATTTAATCCAACACCAACGATCTTTATCACTTGTTGAATTTAAGCGGTTATAACGACCCTGTAATGTCACATCGTAACAATCTTAAACATAGACAATGAATGGTCTCGAGTTTGGAGCCCTCACGTTTCCGAGGCGTGTTACATACCTCAAAGTAGTAAGACGCACATGGTTTCAAAGCGGCAAAAAAGCAGGTACTTGTAATCACAGTGTGCATACTTCTCACGCTCTGTTTTGTGCTGACTGTGTGCATGTACATTACGTGCATGATAGTACAAATAAACGATAAACACATATTTTCAAACTATTCTTCCAACATGTCCAAGGGAATTCGACTTTTGTGTAAAAATGTTCTTGTTCTGTTTGTCAGAGGAGAGGCATCACACACCATGTCCAGTTCTGCTTAACAGAAATGAAATCTGTGATGGTTTCCTTCTGAAATGAATCAACAATCGGTATCTCTGATTCATACTTAGCCTTAACCAAATACCAATCAGTGCATTAAGAAAAATAGATGGTTTCGCCCGCACGACATGCACGGGGACTAATTTGTGATAACACAAGCAGACGTAAGAAGAGGTTGCCCCATTGGGATACATATTTTCATAAATCCAACGAGTTACATTCAACTGACTCTCAGGTTTACAGTCGAATACTACCGCTAGCAGAAGCAAAAACATTGTCACATGTCAGATTTTCGTTATCTTGGTCATTTGTTGTGGTATATATGATAGTTTGATATGGTGACTTTCCCTAATTGTCGCCAACAACTGAAGGGATCATGTAAATCCTGCTGGGGTCAATGCAGGTAGCAAAGGTACTGTACGTCCACATGGTCCCCAGTATGGTCCTTCAGTTGCTGGCGATCTATAGCTCTTTGTTTATATAATGTATTGTCCTGTCTAGTGATGTATTTTTATGGTTCCATGCTAGTTTTAAATAATAATCTGTGATAAGTCTAGTTATTTTACTGTCCCTTGTTGACAGGATTGTGTAGTTTACACGTATTTATTATGTATAACCATTGAAAGTCACGATATGGCTGAAATATTGCCGATGTGACTTAAAATCTTAACTCTCTCACTCAGTCACTGATATGGTGACTTAACAGCATGCATTTGATGGAAATGTTACGAGATAATCACGTGAGCGAAAGTTAAAACAAAGTAGGTGGCGATGAGTGAGTGAGTGAGTAAGGTTTTACGCCGCTTTTAGCAATATTCCAGGAATATCACGGCGGGGAACACCAGAAATGGGCTTCACACATTGTATCCATGTCGGGAATCGAACCCGGGTCTTCGGCGCGACGAGCCAACGCCTTAACCACTAGGCTACTCGACCGCCCCAGGTGGCGATGAATGTAGGTGGTTGTCACTCGTGACAGCTTCGGTACATCGGTCACAAACTGGGTGAGCCAGACTTTATCAGCTGTAGTCCTTGAGCTTCGGGACCGTGAAGATCCGGGATAGAATAGGTCTTCAGCGACCCATGCTTGCCGTAAAAGGCGACTATACTTGTCGTAAGAGGCGACTAACGGGATCGGGCGGTCAGGCTCGCTGACTTGGTTGATGCATGTCATCGATCCCAATTGCGTGGATCGATGCTCATGATATTAATCATTGGATTGTCTGGTCCAGACTCGATTTTTTTACAGACCGCCGTCATATAGCTGGAATATTGCTGAGTGCGGCGTTAAACAACAAACCAACCAACCAACCTTGAGCTTCGGCCATGTCAACTGTGTGCCAAGGACTTTATCAGCGGGAGTTCTTGCACTACGATCATGTCCTTCACTGAGTGTTCGTGACTTTATCAGCTGAAGTCCTTGAGGTACTGTCACTTTATGTACAAGTCCATTCATGCTGTATTTACGTTATGTCCATTTGGGGATTTGCGTGTCAAATCATTGTGATTCCACCAAAAAAAACAACGACAAACACCATTCTATAATCATAAAAAAATAGAAATTTCCACTAAAAGCAGTGTCCATTGTACGATTCCGACTCTATCATAAACATGTGTCTATAAATCAACTATACATCGAACAAACATTCAAATCACGATTTCGATGTGATTTATGTTGTTTTGTTGTGTCGGTGAGGTATGATGACTGGAAAGAATATTTGACTTATTCTAAAGCACCAAGAAGTTGTGACAAAACTAAATGACAAGAGATGTCTTCAGCTGTCCAATAGTTAACTTTCCCCTTGTATCGAGCAATATTCCTGCTGCTCCAGCCCTTGGGGTCGCCAGTTTTAAGGTACAATCGAGCATGTTG